GACTTCATAGTCTCTGCTTGTGGGGACCAGGTTGAACACTTTTCTGGCCCCACTTCTTTTTCTTGAAACTGGGCCTGTGTCCAATAGCTTCTATACTGCCAAGATTACGTTCTCCTCTCAAGTGTATGCAATCTATATGTGACTATCTTCACTACAGTTGTAGCAGAAGATGTCTCTGACTTTCTGGTTTTCTGCCAATGACAGGGTTTGTGTACCAGCCTGTCATTGCTTTGTACCAATGTTTTTAGGGGACCATTGCTGTCCATGGTATTCTACTTCAGAACTTTGGGGATTCTTTGTCAGGCTCTACATTCTTTTGGGGGGGGTAGGCAATGGGGTTAAATGACTGACCAGGGTCACACAGCTTGTGTCAAGTGTCTGAGGCTGGATTTGAACTCAGATCCTCCTGACTCCAGGCCAGTGCTCTATCCACTGTGTCACCTAGTTGCCCACATAGGCTCTACATTCCTAGTGTGATTGTGTTTTTAGTGTTGCCTTATATTCTTAGGTCATGTTTTGGGATGTTTCTGAAACATTTATATGTGGAGCTTCACAGTAAGAATCCTTCTGAACATCACTGGGCCTATTTTCTAATTAGGGCACTGAGTCTATCAATTTTTCCAAACCATATAGATTCCACGTAAGGTATCAGCTTTGCAATTGTGTTCGTGTCAATTCTCTTTATCAGGCTCTTGCACACTATTCAACCTTACTTCAATTGCTCTCCAGCCTCACCTCCCTCAACAGTTGTAATAGATTTGTCCTCATATGAATTATAAACTTAGTTGTTTTTTCTCCTCTGTGCTGAAATACTCAAATATAGAATATGCCCCAACACACTTTTCATGTTTATGCAAACAAGTTGTCAACATGTCATATCTAGTTTATCATAGACCCTTCCCCAAAGTCTCTAAGTATTTTTATTAATGCTCTCCAACAGCCTTTCCACCTTCTATGTCAGAAGTCTTCCAACTGCATAATGCCACTGAAGCCTATGTAATTCAAGTTTTCCCTAATTGTTTCCTAGAAAAGTGTGAGTCGTCTCTTGAGAAGCTTCCTAATTTGGCCTAATAGTGATTCTTTGCTATTATATATGTTTGTATGTCTATCTGTATACATATAATTTCTTGTATAAATGCTTGCATATCTATCTATATATGCACAATTATGTATGTGTACAGCTAGATATACATACATATGTGTATGTGTATGTATGTAGGTATAAAATTTCTGCATGCCAACCTTCAGGTGATACTTTGCTTTTCTGCTTCGTTCAGTGGACCTATCCCTCCTCTCATTTTCAGGTGAGATATCTTTGTGTGACTCAGGGATTTGTATGATTACATACAGGAGGGTTATTAAACTTACCCTTATGACCTTTTCCATGAGTTAACTGATTCATCTTCCATGAACACAGAAAGCTTAAGTTTGGACCATCTCCCCAATGCCACAATCTATAGAGAGAGTCAACAACATTAGAGAAGGAGAAGAGAAGGAAATAAGCACCTAGGAAGAGCTAGAAAGAGAAATTCCATTTAAAACAGCTGCTGATAGTACAAAATACTTGAGAGTGTATCTGCTACCACATACGCAGGAATCATATTGAATACAATTACAAAACATTTCACACAAATAAAGACAGATCTAAACACTTGGAGAAATACTAATTGCTCATGAATAAACTGAGCCAACATATTAAAACTTACAATTCTCCCTAAATTAATTTACTTATTCAGTTCCATACCAATCAAATGACCAAATAATTATTTTATGAAGTTAGAAAAAAATAATTACAGAATCAATCTAGAAGAGCAAAAGGTCAAGAATATCAAGGGAATCAATGAAAAAAAAGTGAAGGAAGAGGGCCAAATAGTACCAAATCTCAAACTATACTACAATGCAGTAAATATCAAAATAATTTGGTACTGGATAAGAAAAAGAATGGTTGATGGCGAAATAGGTTAGGTATGCAATATACAGGTACGCAGTGGCCACAGTAATCTAGTATTTGATAACCCAAAGATCTCAAATTTGGGGGCAAAAGCTTATCATTTGACAAAAACTATTGGGAAAACTGGAAAGCAGTCTGGCAGGAACTAGGCATAAATGAACATCTCATACCAAGATAAAACATATGAATTAGACATAAAGGGTGATATTAGGGGAGCATGAAACAAATTACCTGCCAGATCTATGGGCAAGGGTCTTCCCTATATTTATGATCAAATGAAGAGATCACAGGAAGTAAAATAGATAATTTTGATTACATTAATTTTTTTTTTTGCACAGACAAAACCAGTGCAGCCAAGATTAGAAGGAAAGCAGGAGAAACTTTCTGTAAAATGTTTTTTTCCCTCCTAAATTCAATAAAGTACAAAACTAGAATGAAGAGAAAATTCAGTATATAGTAATTCTCAAAATTTGTCAACATTATAATAAATTCATTTCTAGTGTCAAGTTGTAAAAAGGAATTAGTAACTTATTAAAATGCAAATAAAGAATAGAAAATTCAAAATCAAAATTCATCCTTTAATGTTGCAGCTAAGTTCTGTGTAATCCTCATTGTAATGCCCTGATATTTGAATTGTTTATTTCTGGCTGCTTGCAATATTTTCTTCTTGACCTGGTCATTCTGGAATTTGGTTATAATTTTTCTTGGGGTTTTCATTTTGGGATTTCTTTCTGGAGGTGATCAGTATATTCTTTCAATATCCATTTTGTCCTCTGGTTCTAAGATATCAGGGCAATTTTCTTTGATAATTTCTGGAAGTATGATGTCCAGGTCTTCCTTTTGATTATGGCTTTCAGGTAGTCCAGTGATTCTTAAATTATCTCTCTTGGATCTATTTTCCAGGTTAGTTATTTTTCCAATGAAATATTTTACATTTTCTTTTTTTTTCATGCTTTTGATTTTGTTTGATTGATTCTTTATGTCTCATGAGTCATTAGCTTTCACTTGCCTGATTCTAATTTTTAAGGAATTATTTTCCTCAGTTAGCTTTTGTACCTCCTTTTCCATCTAGCCAATTCTGCTTTTTAAGGAGTTGTTTTCTTTTTCCAAGATGTTGATTCTTTTTTCATGATTCTCTTGCATCACTCTCATTTCCCTCCCAATTTTTCTTGTCTCTTATTTGATTTTTAAACTCATTCTTGAACTCTTCCATGAGTTCTTTCTGAGCTTGAGACCAATTCCCATTTTTCTTTGGGGCTTTGCCACAGGTATTTTGACACTGTTGTTGTCCTCTTCTGAGTTTGTGTCTTGATCTTCCCTGTGACCATAATAACTTTCTATGGTAAAATTGTTTTGTTGTTGTTGTTGTTGTTTTTCTCATAATTTTCAGCCTTTCCCCATGCTCTTAAATGTGAGCTCTGCTGCTGGAATGGAAGGGGCATTGTCCCAAGCTTCTTGTGCCAGGGGCTGCAGGTCCTGACTGTTTGCCTGGTGTGGCATTGGGGTTACTCTGAGGCCCATGGGGGACCTTTGTGCCTGGTACTCCATGGTGAGGGTGAAGTGAGTGGAGGCGGTGGCACTGCTGGAGGCTGTAGGGGTCTAGTAACTTGCCTGCTGCTGTAGCAAGGCACATGGGGGAGGTTTCCTGCACTGGCATTTGCCTGTGTGCTGAGGCACCATGGAGGGTCCCAGTGCTGGCATCTACTCTTTTGCCTGGCTATGTAAGGGGTCCTGGCACCGGATTCTACTCGCTTGTGCTGCACAGGGGCTTAGTACCTCCTGTTCGCTTGCTAAGACAGGACCTGCTGCTGACTTGCTGGGATGCTTCCTGTCCTGGACTGTGCTCCCCTTTTTACCCAAGTGAGACAGACCTTGCCTGCCAACCTTCCAAGTTTCTTGATTATTTTACCCCATCTTTTGGATAGATCTGCCTTTCCAGAATTTGTTTTGGGACACTATTTATAGTTGTTTGGAGGTGAATATGGGAGAGTTAAGGCAATTCTTGCTTGGTCCACCATCTTGGCTCCTGGAAGTGCCAGGAGGTGACTTCTCACTTGTAATATTAGGTGTTGCTGTATCCTTTTCCCTCCCAATCAGAAAGAGAGGTTGGCATCCTTACAGATATTCACCTACTGCATTGGCTTACTTTGACGTTTCTTTCAAAGCTGCTCTCTGATTCTGAGCATTCTGATTCTGGTTAAAGACATATCTGCACAATACTGGGAACAACTTTTTATCTAAAGTGATCAGTCATACAAAATACCATTTGCAACATTGAGGAAGTAGTGAAACGGGTAAATAAGACACTTTAGGTTTAAGTCTCCATCCTAAATTCGTGCCTACCTGCATTTTGCAAGGCTTATTAGCAAGATAACAGATCTCCCTCAGTTATGCATGGATATTCAAGGCTCATTAGTATTATGACAGATCTCCCTCAATTGTGCATGGACAGTAAGATTTGTAAAGATAATGTGTGTATATATATATATATATATATATATATATATATATATATATATATATATATATATATATACACACACATATATATTCAAATTAAGGTGATTTATGGGACAATTTAGCTCAGAGAGGAAGGCTGAACTTCTGAACCTATGAACTTCTTCACTCAGAGACAAAGAAAGGGACTGAGGTAGTTATATAAAATACAGAATATAAAATCAACTACAAATAGAATTAATTACAAAAATAGAATTGACTAAGAAGTGGAATAAATTTGATTTTCTTAGCACTATATGCAGGAAATGCTAGCTATGCTGCTGCTGTTGCTGTTACCGCACTTTTTCTGTTTTGAAAGCAGGCTTCATTCTCTCTGATAGTTGGAGAGTAGAAATGCCTTCTTCAAGCCCCGTCATTTTCTTCTCGTACCACTATTAAGTATCAGAAGCAGGATTCAAATTCAGTCTTATCATGTCTCTGCATCCTGTGTTTTTTCCAGTATGCCATATTACATAAATGTTAAGTATTATTATTATTATTGTCCCAAAAGAGGTAGTTTTGGGGTCTAATAATTGGATTTTATTTCTTTCAGATGGTTTACCAGAAGATTAAGATAATACGTGTTTTCATTATTATTCTTGTGGTTTCTTGTTTGTGTTTGATCACATATAACATGAGCTTAACAGAAATCTGCACCTTTTGGACAAGAAAAGAAGGCACAGTAGTTTTCAAGAAAAATAGTGGGAACTTTCTTCAGCTCCCAGATATGGACTGCAAAAAGAATCCTCCATTTTTGGTTGTGATGGTGACTTCATCCCACAATCAGATTAAAGCACGGATGGCTATCCGTGAGACCTGGGGAAAAGAAAGAAGTGTAAAAGGTAAACGTATAGTAACATACTTTCTGCTAGGAATCACAAATTCAAAGGACGATGATGTGGTGACACAAGAAAGCCAGAAATACAGAGATATTATCCAGAAAGACTTTTTGGATGGATATTTCAATTTGACTCTTAAAACAATGATGGGGATAGAATGGGTTCACCATTTTTGTCCTCAATCTGACTTTGTGATGAAGACTGATTCTGACGTGTTTGTAAATGTGTACTATCTAACTGAGCTCCTTATAAGGAAAAACAGAACAACCAGGTTTTTTACTGGTTTTTTAAAGATGAATGAATTTCCAATTAGAAATATATTTAGCAAGTGGTATGTAAGTAAATATGAGTACCCATGGAAAAAATATCCACCTTTTTGTTCTGGAACGGGTTATGTTTTTTCTAGTGACATTGCAAGTGAGGTTTATAATGTTTCAGAAGAAGTCCCTTTTATTAAACTGGAGGATGTTTTTGTGGGACTCTGCCTTGCAGAACTAAAAATTGAACTACAAGAACTACACTCAGAACAGACATTTTTCCCAAATAGGCTTAAATTTTCTAGCTGTCGCTTTAAGAAAATTGTGACCTGTCATTTTGTCAAGCCAGTAGAACTGCTGACATATTGGAAAGCTTTGGAGAGGTCCTTAGATGAAAAGTGTCCAGCTGTTTAAAATGATAATAATGACATACCAGGACAAATGTTAGCCATTTTGCAGTGACATTTTGGCAGGAAAAGCATGTTTTTGAATGGAGAGTCACAACCAATCCACATTAGGGAGGGAGAGGAGGACAGAGCCATGTTCCTCAGTGTTCTGAACACAAGACTAAAATTTTAAAACCCAAATTGTAATCCTGAAATGATTTATTCTTTCTAATTTTGAGCCCCCTCAAAATGAAAACAACCAAGTAACAGTTTATCGGCACCTATAATTATTCTCCTTACCTCCAACCTATCCTAGCATCCCTTGATGTTTATGCTATATTGGATTAACAAAGGCATCATCAATAGAGATGTCTCCAAGTCCCTGGCTTCATTAAGAACTAGCTAGATAAACAGGGAGGCCTAATGTTCTCTGCTTAGTATTCAGTGCTTCATTGAGATGAATCATTATATCTCAATTCAGCACTAGACAACATCCAGGTCTAAATTAGGCCAGCACTTATTTAGACTTTATGTTCAAAGCCCCAAATGATAAAAAAACTGAGTATGTAGAACATTCTGTTGTACTACCGATTCTCATTAGAGCTTGAGTTTATCCCTGAGCCATTCTACCATTGAAATTCAATTCTATATGTCATTGATTGTTCATTTAGCACCGAAGAACCACTGTTGGGAGCACAATGGCTCAGGTACTCATCCCTCCCTATATCTAGCTAGGTGAACCCATTTAGTGGTGGAGCCTTCCTATAAGTAAGAGGGTCAGAATCCCCATTATCACACTCATTTGCTTGCTAAAAGCCTCCACCCCGTTGTCTGGGTGATTATACTAATTTTAGTTATGTTGACTTGTGAATTTTAGTGAAAGTCTTGATTTCTGTTTGTGTCTTTTCATTCAGGTATGGAGCAGATAGTTTTTTTTTTCCTACACAGTAAGAGGGGTACTAAGCATAAAAGTAAATTAATGCATGCATTAACAGAATGATTAGACAGAATTTACTAACTTAACTAAGAAGTATTGGTATATTTATCTGGGAGGCTAATATTATGACATACCAGAATATAAAACAATTGTGCAATTATGGTAATTTCACCTCAGCACTTCCCCTTCCATGAGCTACTGTTGCCCTGGGGACACTGAAGCTCCTTTTGCTTCTCAAGACCTTTGGATCTTTTGACACTTACAGAGTTCCAGTCCTGGACATAGTCATCATGGGATAGTCCTTCATCTAAGATAAGGAAGAAATAAAAACAAAAGAATACGTTGTGCTTGTGACTGCAAGGAGTCTGGGTGGAGATAGGACGCCTGGCTCTTAGGATGCAGCTCTAGGTACTCTTCGCACTTCATAGCTGGAAAGAAAGAGGAAATTAAAGGTCTTAGTAGCTTGCTTTTTTATATCCCAAGTCATCAGTTCTCCTGGCTCAGCAGCCAATTGAGGAGATTATAATCATATAGTGCAAACTGCATGTATGCCCCACTTAACTTTTTGTGTGGTGAGTTGGAACCAGGCAGAGAACACCTGCTGTGCATGCTCCAATGAATGGCTGCTTTGGGCCAATTTACCCATGTTATATTTAGGTAGAATGAGATGAGCTACAGTATTTCTAAAATTTTCACACTTAAAGGAACTTAGGGTTTAAATGTTAGGGTATAAGCATATTCATTGCAAGGCTCTTAATGAATGAATTAAGTTTTTGCTAAGTTAATATTCCTTTATTAAACATGTACTATGTGCCAACCATTTAAGAATTTCAGAGACTCAACCTTTTGGGCTGTTCTAGTCAGCTGGATAAGAAACTCCTGAACTTTGAGTTTTTGAGTTTTCTCTGTCATTTTTTTTTCTGAATAGATGTCTGAATGTACTTTTTTCTCAGGGATATGGTGAAAATGAGGTAACTTTTTGCAAAGAGCTACAAGCTTTTGGAAACATGCCTTACATAATACAAATTAGTAGTTTGTTACTATTGTTTATTAATATCACACCAGACTTTAATGGGTGATTATTATAAAGCATCTCAAAAGTGTAGAGTACTAAATAGTAATGTTCTTATGAATATGTTTGAAATGAAATGAAATGAAAATCTTTTTCCTGAACCTGAGATCCTCATATATTTGGTGCAAAATGTTCATGACAGTTCAGATGAAAGTTTCAACACTTCCATTCTATAAAACTAATATATTATTTTGAATAGATTTTTAAAACCTTCTTTCCTTGTTTTGAAGCTGCAATGTACATTTCATTCAATTAAATAAATATTTATTGTGTCTATTTTGTGGAAGGCATTATACTTGGCATTGACTTTATAAAGAAGAAAAAGATACAGCCCCTGCCTTTGAGGAGTTTATGGAAAATGGGGGTAGGGAGGAGAAATAGGCCATGAACACAAACAATTATAATACGAGGCAGAATATACTATGAGAAAGAAGAGGTCAACACAAAGTTCAAAGAGAAATCTGAGAAGGTAGAGATCACTTTTGACTGGGTGGTGGGTAGGGAAGTCTTCATGGAGGAAATGTCCTTGAAGCATCAGAAGTATTTCCATAGGTAAAGCTGAGGAAGGAGTCTATGAGGGATAACTTCTTATGAGGGACAACTTGCATAAATATATAAACATGGTAAAGGAATAATTCAACTTGGCTGGAATATACCATTAAACAGATGAAATCAGAGAAGAGGCCAGTTTGGAGAGAGGTGGTAGAATAACTTCTTACTATGTCACAGGTTTGAATGTCTATGATTCTATTCATTTTTTCCCATAATTTTGTCAGTTTTATATTTCACTGAGATTTAAATGTAGCATGAATATACATGAATCATCATTAGTAGAATATGCATTCTCAGTGGTAGCAATGGGTTTTCACTGATTCATCCATGTTCCTGGATGGACTTCTGGACCCCACTCCAGATATAATAGTTTCTGCTTCCTAACTAATCTTCTGGACCCCTTAGAGCACACAACTACCAGCCCAGGCTCATGCTTATCAGAGAAGAGGTTCCATCTCCTTACCATCTCCTTACCATCAGACTTACCATCTCCTACTTCCTGGTTAGACCTACGATGACCATGGCTATATCACTTTCTGGCTTTTCTAAGCTTTCATAGGCCCTCGGGTGACATTTCTGGCTTCTGCTTCTGTTTACCACAAGGTAGGATCCTGGGACAAAGTACCTCCCACTTGTGCCTATGCTCCTAGGACACAGCAATACTACCTACCAGGAGACCAGTCAGTTGCATTCTGTGCCTAGTCCTTGGACATTCTGATCACATTCCTTCACTGGCAAACATCTCCTCATTTACTGATACTTCACCCGGACGCATTTCCCAACATTTAGCTCACTCTATCCTCTCTTAGTCACCCTATATGACTGATATTGTGTCCCTAATAAACTCCCCTCCTTAACTCTTAACTGTCTGCTTCCTCTTTCAAACCCCACTAATATCAAGATCTTCCCTTCCATAATTTATTCTGGAGCTCCATAAATGACGAACTCGTTTTCATATTAAATCTCTTTCTCTTTTACTCCTTCCATCTACTAGCAGCCATTAACACCTAATTCCTTCCAGATAATCCTGAATCTATGGAAATGCATTCAGTACTGGGTGCACTTTGTCTCCCCCCTGCCAATGCCTTATAAGGTTAATACTATTGATCACCCTTGCCTCCCAGATACTCTCTCCTCCCTTGGATTTAAAGGCAATACTTCTGGTCTTCCCCCCTAGCTGTCTGACTATTCCAAAAGGAATTTTGCTGGATCTTCATCCACATCATGCACACTATGAATATACTCTAAAGCTCTGTCTTGGGACTCCATTTCTTTTCTATTATTTTTCACTAGATTATCTCATCAGCTTTCATGGGTTCAATTATCATCTCTATGCATATCATTCTTTTTTAAAAATTTTTTCCATATGCTTTTGAGTTGAAAATTTTTCTCCCTTTTCCTCCCCCCCACCCTCCCCAAGATAGCACACAATCTGATATAGGCTTTACATTTACATACCCATTAAACGTATTTTCACATCAGTGAAGTTGTAAGTACAAATTAAAACCAATAGGAGGAACCATCAGAAAGATGAAACAAAACTCAACAGAAGGTAAAAGTAAGTGATAGCGATTCGACTTCCATAGTTCTTTCTTTGGATGTGGACAGCATTTTTCCATCCCGAGGCCTCTGAAACGTGATGTCTTAGATCCTCATAATGCTGAGAAGGGTTCAACTTAACAATCTTAGTCATTGCCTAACGTGGCTGTTATTGTGTACAAAGTGCGCCTGGATCTGCTCACTTCACTCAGCATCAGACCATATAAGTCTTTCCAGGTTTTTCTGAAGTCAGCCTGTTCATGATTTCTTATAGCACAATAGTATTCCATTACATTCATATACCACAACTTGCTCAGCCATTCTCCAACTGATGGGTATCCTCTCAATTTCCAATTCTTTGCCACCACAAAAAGAGCTGCTATGATTATTTTTGTACATGTGGGTCCTTTTCCCATTTGTTTGATCTCTTTGGGATATAGCCCGAGAAGTGCTATTGCTGGATCAAAGGGTATGCACATTTTTGTAGCCCTTTGGGCATAGTTCCAAATTGTTCTCCAGAATGGTTGGATCATTTCACAACTCCACCAACAATGTATTAGCGTTCCAATTCTCCCACATCCTCTCCAACATTTATCATTTTCCTGTTTTGTCATGTTTGCCAATCTGATAGGTGTGATGTGGTACCTCAGAGTTGTTTTGATTTGCATTTCTCTAATCAATAACGATTTAGAGCATTTTTTCATATGACTATAGATGGCTTTAATTTCTTCATCTGAGGACTGTCTGTTCATCTCCTTTGACCATTTATCAATTGGGGAATGGCTTGTGTTCTTATAAATTTGTCTTAATTCTCTATATATTTTAGAAATGAGGCCTTTATCAGAAAGACTGGTTGTAAAAATTCTTATATGCATATCATTCTTATATCTACATATAAATTCCTAGTCTCTATCTTTAGTTCCAGTCCCACATCATTAGCCGTCTAGTGAACTTTTCAAATTGGATGTTCCGCAGACATTTCAAACTTAACAACATGTCCAAAACATAACTCATTATCTTGCTGTCATCACCCTGGTGCAAACACTCAAAACTTCATTCCTACTTGTACTACTGCAGTAGCCTCATAATTTGTTTCACTACCTCAAGTGTCTCCCTACTTTACTCCATTCTCTGCCCAAATGCCAAACTGAATTTCCTAAAGCACATTTTAACCCTGTCAACCCCACCCCCATACCATTCAGTAAACTCCAGTGGATCCTTGTTACCTCCAGAATCAAATATAAAGTCCTCTGGTATCTAAAACTCTACAACCTGGCCCTTTTCTATATTTTTAATCTTTGTACATTCACATAATTTCATGGACTCTAAGGTCCAGCTGTGATGACTTATGTATTATTCCTCACACAACATTACTGTTCCCATCTCCTTACACTCACTGTCCTCTATGCCTAGAATAATCTCTGAGCTTACCTCTGCCTCATAGAATCTTTGCCCTCCTTCAAGACTCCGCTTTAGTGTTATCTTTTGCAGATAGCCTTTCCTATTCATCTAGATGCTAAAGCCTTCCTCTCTAAGTTTACCCTTTATTTTATTTATTTTGTATATTTTTTGCACTTAATAGTATTTACTTTTTTCTTAATTACATGAAAGATAATTTTCAACATTCATTTTTGTAAGATTTTGAGTTCCAAATTTTTTCTCCTTCTTTTCCCCCCAAGACAGCAAGCAATCTGATATAAATTATATATGTACAATCATATTAAACATATTTCCACATTAATTATGTTGTGAAAGAAGAATCAGAACAAAAGGGAAAATCACGAGAAAGAAAAAAAACCCAAAAAACAAAGTGAAAATAGTATGCTTCAATCTGCATTCAGACTCCATAGTTCTTTCTCTGGATGTGGACAGCATTTTCCATTATAAGCTTTTTGGAGTTGTGTTGGATCATTGTATTGCTGAGAAGAGCTAAGTCTGTCATAGTTGATCATTGCACAATTTGGCTGTTGCTATGTACAGTGTCCTCCTGGTTCTGCCCAGTTCACTCAGCATCAGTTCATGTAAGTCTTTCCAGGTTTTTCTGAAATTCACTTGCTCATCATTTTTTATAGAACAATAATATTCCATTACATTCATCTTACCACATTCATATACCAGAACTTGTTCAGACGTTCCCCAATTGATGTGCATTGCCTCAATTTCCAATTCTTTGCCTATCTTATATATATATACACACACTTTATTTTACTTTAATTGACTTATTTATTTTTAGTTTTCAACATTTACTTCCATAAGATTTTGAGTTCTAAATTTTCTGCCCATCTCTCCCGTCCCCCCACCCCAAGATGGCATGGAATTTGATATAGGCTCTACATATATATTCATATTAAACCTATTTTCACATTAGTCATGTTGTAAAGAAGATTTAGAACTAATGGAGGAACCATGAGAAAGAAGAAACAAAAAAAGAGAGAGAGCAACTAATATGCTTCGATTTTCATTCATGCTCCAAAGTTTTGTGTTTTTTTTTCTGGATGTGGACAACATTTTCCATCATGAGTCTTTTGGAATTATCTTAGATCCTTGCATTGCTAAGAAGAGATAAGTCTATCAAGGTTAGTCACCACACAAAGTGGCTCTTACTGTGTACAATGTCTTCCTGGTTCTGCTCACTTCACTCAGCATCAGTTCATATAAGTCTTTCCAGGTTTTTCTGAAATCCACTTGCTCATCATTTCTTATAGCACAAGAGTATTCCATTACATTCGTGTACCACAACTTGTTCAACCATTCCCCAACTGATGGGTATCCCCTCAATTTCCTCTTTGCCACCATCTTACATATACTTTTAAAGGTACATGTTGTCTCCCCTGTTAGAATGTAAGCTCCTTTAGAGCAGGGACTGCTTTCACTTCTTGTTTGTAATTCCAATGCTTGACACAATGCCTTATACATACTATGTTTTTAATAAATATTTATTTATTGATTATTTCTTCCACTGTTTATTAGTGTTGATAAATGAGACAGCAGACCAGAATGTGATTGTTCTGTATAACTATGGAGTAAAATAAAGTTAGCTAGTCTGTATAGATATTAAATTCATGGCAATAGTATTAGCAATTAGAATGTGATGTGTAGCCATCTGAGTTAATTAGTCACAGGATAAGGAAAATTCAAGGTCTCAAGGCTGTATTATGAACAAGGATCAGGAACAGAAGTGAGTAGCAGCTGTGTGACTCTGACACCAGTGTGGGATCTTGACTTCAACACCTGGCCCAGACTGAAGCAAAAGCAAAGTAACCAGGGTAGGGTGCTCAGACGAAGAGGAAGCATTCAATTCTGTCATTCTGAACTGGCAGAACCTGATATCTAACTGACAGCAGAAGATAGATGCCTCATATCATGTTTTGATATCCTGTGATTTTCCTTGACTTATTGGAAGTCATTAAATTCAAAGCTATTAGCTAATCTTGGCTCAAGGAGTCCCCTTCCCACAAATAGCTCCAGCTGCAGGCTCAGGTGAAGTCCAGATTCAATTGTGAGGGAAGCCTGACCTCAGAAAGGGGAGCCAGTTTTTTTTTTTTGTTGTTTTTAAATACTCTCTGCTCTTTGCTCCCATTACTGAGTTCTGAATAAATTCTATACAACCAAGTTTAGGCATGGTCCATGTCTAGGTATCATTAAAAGGAATTAGTAGTACCTCTAGAGAGGCAATCACTGCACCAAGTAATAATGAAGGGACTGTTCCCCCTACTTCAGAGCATAAGGCATAGGTTCCCCAAGTAGATGGTACCTCCCCCTGGGGGGTGCTGGAATGATCCAGGGGGGCAGTAGTAGCCTCGAGTGCAATTGTGGGGCATTGAATAAAAACAGGGGGGTGGTAGAAGCATAAGGAAAGAAGAAAAGATAAGAAAATTATGCAAAACCATTCATACAAGTTTCGTCTGTTGTATAACAGAGTTAAAGTCATAGTGGCTACATCATTTTCCAAATAAATCCACAAAATGAAAGTTATACCCCATTAGTGGTCAAGTCTCCTGACAGGTCTTAACAAGCAAGTGTTGGCAGGCCAGTGCGTCTCTCATTGTCAGGAAATCCAGCATGCATCAGCAGGAAAATGTGACTGTAATAGCTTGTTTGCAATATGATAATATACAGTTACATGATGCAATATTGCAGCATCAAAATTTCAATGCAGAAAAACTCCATAAATTTACAATAAATTATTAAATTTAAGATGAGTCGTTTAAAAATTATATATTTTTTGAAATAAAGCAAATTTTAAAAAATATTAAAGGGTTAAAGAAAGTAGATTTCCAGGGGATGGGGGCACTGAGTAATAATAATAATAATAATAATAATAATTATTATTATTATTATTATTATTATTTTGGAAAGGGGGAGGTAGGCCAAGTAAGTTTGGGAACTTCTGTAAGATATTTCCTCCCCCACACATACAAATAATACTTAAAACAGAAGACTCGCAAGCGTGCATTAACAAATACTTAAAACATGAAAAATAAGCTCACTTATTTTACTTTCCAGTAACAAAGAGCTGTGACATATCCCTTTGCCACATGTGTAGGATATATGTGTGCCTTTGTCGTCCTTATGCTTTAAGTATAAGCCTACTTGTCTCATGGATCTATGTGTACTAGTGGGAAAGCGCGCCCCAGGCTTTTGGGGAAATATTTTGTAAAAAATGTTCTTACTATACCACCTTAGTAAATAACCTTTTGTAAAATTGATAATTGTAATTGTAAAATTAAAAATAATTGTAAAAATTGATGTCATCTGGCTGATAGGAAGCATGGTAGATAGGGGCTTTTGAGTGACAGTATTATTAAGCCCTCAAGGTAACTGCTAGAGTTCTTTGGAAAGGTGTAGTAATTGCCCTCAAGAAACCTAATCCTCCCTGGTCTAATGTGAGTTAGGAAAGTAGCCCCAAAGTGGTGGTGTGTGGGGTTAGACTTATACTTGGAAGAAAACATGAGAAGACATTTCTGAAATAAAACTTTAAAAAGTTTATTTAAAAAAATTAGAACAGTGATATTTAATTCTAGTGCTTTTAGCGCATATTTCCACTACAGAATAGAGAATGGTCAGTGACCTTCAACTCAGAACAGCAATAAACATTAAAGTCCTAGAGGGACCTTCGATTGTCATTACATATATAAGGAACAGAGGTTTCCTTTTTAGTGTGAAATAGTATTTAGCAGTTTTCAGGATGAATTTATTCAGTTAGAAGAAAGAACTTGCCTTATCTTTGACTGATCTAGAATATTCTGGCATATGTATTATCCCTTTGCTATGTCTCAGTATCTGTGAAGATACAGGACAGGAGTCAATGTCACCCACACAGAATGCAGACATTTCATTTTAGTCAACTCTTTCAGTCTCCTCACCTCTTATCCTCCTTCTAGCAAACCTTTGCTCAGAATTGCTAACAGGTGCAGAGATGGACTGATTTGAGTGTTACCTACCTTTCCTTCTACTTCCTACCTCCCAGGAAGGAGCTGAAGACAATGTAGTATCCCATTAGCTAAACTGGAGAAGTAAGAAGATGATTTAATAGCGTTTTAAAATCTATAAGCTAGATATCCATTCATGAGAAATCAAGATTTGGTGCACTCACTTTAGCATCAGGGATGAAATTAGTTTATTTGGATCCTTTTCAGTGAGGTCATCAAAGTTTGCAATAAAGTCCATTTATTGTAGCTATCAGAAACTTTAGGACTTCAGATTTTTTTTCCTTTTTCCCCTTTCCTTTCCTCTCCTTTCCTCTCCTTTCCTCTCCTTTCCTCTCCTTTCCTTTCTCCTTTCCTTTCCTTTCCTTTCCTTTCCTTTCCTTTCCTTTCCTTTCCTTTCCTTTCCTTTCCTTTCCTTTCCTTTCCTTTCCTTTCCTTTCCTTTCCTTTCCTTTCCTTTCCTTTCCTTTCCTTTCCTTTCCTTTCCTTTCCTTTCCTTTCTCCTTTCCTTTCCTCCCTCCCCCTTTTTTTGAGGCAATTGGAGTTAAGTGACTTGCCCAGGATCTCATAGCTATTAAGTGTCTGAGGCTGGATTTGAACTCAGGTCCCTCCTGATTCCAGAGCCAGTGCTCTGTCCACTGTCCACTGCACCACTGCACTAGCTCTCCTTTTTCCCCCACACTTATGTTTATTTTCTCTCAAAATACTTTAAATAGTAATACTTCAAATATATTTTAAATTACTTCAAATACTTCAAATCCTTCAAAATACTTTAAATAGTAATAAAATGATAATTATCATTAAGTCAGACTTTGCGTATTATATAAAATACCAAAAAGCCTCCACATGAGAGACTTGAAGGTCTAAGAATCACATATTTTAAACTACAAATCTGAATCATTTCTCTTAGGATCAATACCTGTGAATCTGTTGGAAAAACATGACAGTGAATTTCTGCTTCAAAGAAAGTAAATGTTCAATCAGAGCAGTACAAGCTATACATAGGATGAAGCAAGCCTTCTGAGATGGGAGTTTGTGATTAGTCACCTGACAATCCTATTAGAGCAGTCATTTCCTGACCTTTGCTCAGACTTCTATCCTGAACTACCTTTGTAGTTGGGCCAACATTTCATTCCATGCTTCTGTGTACACATTCAGCAGCTCAAAAAATACACACATATACACAAACACACACAGACTCATGTACATGCACTTGCGCGCGCACACACACACACACACACACAATGTATTTCTAGGATGGAAATGATTTCTTTCAAAGTTAGTGTTCTTAGTACATGTCAGCATATTTAAGGAAGTATCATCCATAAACTGTTTCTACATAACAAGAAAACAACTGGCTGAAAAGTGAATTGAGATTATGCAAAACAAAAACAAAAACAAAACAAACAAAATAAAGACACAAACCAAAACATCTCAATTATTAAATTAATTCATTGTCCTTTTCTTTCCTACAAGACTTTTTTTTTTCATGGTGGGGTAGGGTGGAGGGGAACTTAGTGTAACAATCAATCAATCAATCAATGTTTATTAAGCACCTACTATTCTAGGTACTGTGCTAGACTTGGGATGCAAAGGATACAAAACAGCTTACTCTGAAGGAACTTCCAGTTGAATGGGGAGACAGCATACCAATAAAGCAAGCTATAGATAAGATAAAAAGGAAATATTTAACAGAGATTTGGTACTGGAATTAAGAAGGCTTGTGGAAGGAGGGAGAATGTTCCAGGAACAGAGGACAGTCAGAGAAAATACCCAGAGATGAAAGAGAGTGTCTTGTTTGTGGAATGACCAGGCCAGTGTCACTGGATCTGTTACTGTTGGGCAGTAAGGTACAAGAAGACAAGAAAGACAGGAAGGGACTAGGGTATGAAGAATTTTGAATGTCAAACACATACTCTGGCCTAATTCTCCCAACCCGTCCTTTAACTCTGGCAGGTTGGGACCCCAAAACAAAACAGCCTCTTCTCTCTTTGGGTTCCTAGGCATTCCAAGGCAATGGCAGGGCTGGTTTTCTAGTTCTATAACTCACAAGTTTTCTCCCATGATTATCAGTTGATATCGATTAGCTAGTCAGATAATACTTTTAGAAACAGGTATTTACTAAGGAGGTATTGTTATAACAGTTGGCACAAAATGTCCCATAGACTGGAGGCAAACTCTCTGATAAATACATATAGAGTCCAGGAGAAAGTGGGCTCATGCTTAAAGCATACGGGGCAAGGGTAGGGAAACTCACTGTTCCTGGAAAGTCCCTTTGCTGGAATTCCTTTCTCCCTTTTGTGGGCCCTCAAAAGTTCCTTAAGTGTGGTATTGCCTTCTGCTGAGGTCCTTGTCGAGTCCTTAAGATGCCTTTCCTCAGGCTGTCTAATAATTGGTCCTTGGCACCTGATGCAGACATTGCCAACCAGTCACCGTCTTTCCTAGGGATGCCAATGAGAAGTTCAAATCCTCGAATCCTCTGAGGTTCACAAAGTCATCATCTGGTCAAGGGGAAGGGAAGAGACAGAAGCTCTACTCATCACTACCCCTAAAAGCTCACAAATTGATACCTCTCAGAGGAATGGCTGGAACTGCTTTTCTCCTCTAAGTTGCCAGATACTCAAATCCTTGGTTTCAAATTGACTTGATAAAAGACCCACAGGAGATAAACAAGCGTCTTTAGGTAATATCACCTGTGGGGCATCGTGTCATTTCATCTAATGGCTTTCAAGGGCTGCTCACACTTTTTATAATGCTCTTGATGGGGAGGAAGAGTGATAAGGGGTGTCTTTCTGTAATAAAGATTTTCTTACTTGGTTAAGGTAGTTACTTTAAGTGGGGTGGAGTGGGGTGACTGATTCAATTAATCCCCATCAATACTACTTACAGTAGTAGTATTCTTATTACACTCTATCCACATGTTCTTTATTTATGCAGTTGAAATAAACTCCTTGAGGGCAGGGACTGTTTCATTTCTGTCTTTGTATTCACAATACCTATCACTTAATAAGTACTTTAAAATGCTTGTTGAATTGAACTGAATTAGCCCAATCTTGCTAGGGATGAAATATTCACTAGCAAAAAAATCAATATCCAATAAGCATTTATTAAGCAATACTATATGCCTGGTACTGTGTGAAGTGCTGGGGATACAATTAAAAAGAATGACAGTTCTCGACTTCAAGGAGCTTATAATCTAAAGAGGGAGATAACATACAAAAGGAGACTGAAAGTGTAACACCAGCATGTACCTGGCATGGATATATTACATTCCACGGGGTTGAAACCAGGCAGGACAGCAGATGCAAAATTAAGTGAACAAAAACAGAGCAGAAATACTAAGAAACTCTTGGGAAAATGTTGAATAGTCAGATCCTCAGTAGGATTTCTCTATTTAGTGTTCCATTTTGTAATGTTGTATGACCCTGGGACAGATGAATAAAAAACTATTACCCCAAATTTGAGTACGTTTTGTTTGTGTATAAACAATGGACTTGATTATCTCATATATGTACCCTTCACAAGTTCTGGAGATCCTTCTCCCAACTTTGCTTGCATTGTCCCTGAACTTGAGGCCAGCTACTACCGCCCTTAAGGTTCTAGGGACAAGTCTAAGGAATTATCCTGTATCAAGTCTCCATTCCAGTGTCAACGTCAATCACTAGTCTCATAGCACCCATATCCTGCAGTGATTAGCATCTAGGTTTCATTAAACCACTAAACATCAATTAGCTTTTGCAAAGGGATATTTACTGATAATATGTAGCAAGAACAGACATACAAACCATTCTCCCCAACACCAGGGGATAGATCCTTGCTATTTTGCTTTGTTCCCTAGGGAGAGTAGTCTCAAGCATAGAGTAGTAGCCAAACACATTTGCCCCATCAAATTCACTTCCAAATGGATGGACAAAGTTGCTCCAGAAAATGGAATTGTGGTTGTTGGTTTAATTTGCTGCTTGGGTTGGTTCCTTCAGGGCCTCATTAGCACTGTCTCTGGACCTTTGGTTCTCTGACCTTTTGAACCTTCCATGTTTCCCCCTGGTTTGTTTCACCTAATAGTAGGAAAGAATAGAAACAACAGAGACAAAACAATTACAGGACCATATACTATCGGTGGTGGTGGGCCCTTGGGGAGATAAAGAGAGCCCAATGCTCCCTCCGTACATGGAGGCTTGTAGCATTCCTTACTTTTGTACCAGAAGGCAATCAGAAAACAGAGGAACCAATTCATCTGGTTAATGCAGCATGGGAAACAATACCTGTGTACACTCTGAAGTGTATGTGGAGATTACTGGGTTTATTAGCCAGTATCCTTCCTTTTTCCCCTTACATAATTAAATGCCTGTGAGATTAAGTACATTAGGGGGCTGGGGCTGGGGTGGGGAACCATTGCTTAGAATGGACTGTGGATATTTCTGGCACTTTCATCCTCTAAACAACCCAGGAGGTAAAGTCTGACAACCTTGGGCTCTTGAGTATTTTGGAATATTATTTAAGGTCTCATTTTCCTAACTGTGTTATGCTTTGATGAATAGTAGAATTAGGTATGATCATTGTGCTTTCTCTGTAGTTAGATTTACCATCCCTCTCTCTTTCCCCTTCCTCATTTCTCCCCAATTCATGACATGAAACCTTGACAATCTGTTGAAGGGCACACTGCCCTTGACTATGTTGTAACCTTAGGCCAGAGACACAGATGCCTTTCTGCGCTCTAACTTTCTGTCCAGGAGGTTGGAAGGAGGGGGAAAGGTGCCCTGAGATTGAGAGAACTATGTCTTTCCTTCCTTTTCTCTTCCACTCCCTCCCTTCTAGAGACGGGAAATTGTAAATGTAGATCAGGTAGGAAGAGGCAGGTCTAGAGTGGGGAAGGACAGAGGTGAGGTATACCTGCTGTGCCATGAACAGTGCCAGGTGAGATAGAACCCGATCGACCTCACTGCTTCTGATGGGGTGCTTGGGTGCTTGTGCTTGTACTTGGACCCCAATTTCTCCCTAGTCTCAGAAACACTGTCTCTGACAACCACTCCCCAGCCCAAGGACACTGTGCCTAGCAGTTACTCATGTGTGGGCCCTAGCATGACCCTTATCTCTCTCCCTGGTGCAGCTACACAAAGCTGGGCTGCTCAGGCCCCAGCCCTCAGATCATGTTTCTGGAAGCCTCCCATTCCTTAGTAAGTTCCTGTCTTGTGAGAAAGCTTTCCCTTGTTGCAGAGCATTCTCTCATCAAGACAGAGGGAGGGGGTGCCTCGCCCAGCCCAAGGAGTTTTGTACTTGGCTGGCCCAATGACTCTTCCTCCTGCCAGACTCCAAAGATTCATACCTCTGTCATCTCCCTCCCTGACCGGTATACTCCCTGTACTTTCTCATCCATAGCTCCCAAAGACACTGGACCTTTAGATACCTCATCAGTGTCCCTGGCATTCCTTTCCCATGCCCTTTTCCATATAAACCCTAGCTCCATCCTCAGTTTCTCGCTGGTTCCTTAAGAATCCTTGCCCTCTGAAAAGCCTAACAATAAATCTTTGCCACCTTGACTTGAAGAATGCTTGAATCTGTGAATTCATTCCAGACGACTCGGCCTGTACTCTGGTCTTTGAGGGGTCTCAATATCTCAGACAGCAACACTTCTTCCTCCAGCCTGTAAGGGCTTAGGGAGGAAATCTCTGCAAATTCTAAAAGCTTGTCATGGTTTCTTTTTCATCTTCCTTTTTTACTGGCTAGGAGGAAAGTTGTAGGGAAAAGATAGGCAATCAAGCTATAATGATTCCTGCAGTTTTCTGAATGCCTTAGTTCCCTTAACTATAAAATGGGGATAATAATTTGCATGTTTTTCTGCTAATTATTTCAATAAATCAAATCACTTGGCCATCACAAAAGTCGTGTTAAACCCTATGAATAGGGATTCTGAAAGAAGGAATGAAACCTCAGAATGAGGACTAGAAGAGCAAAAATTAGAAGATTTTGTATATTTTTGGAATTTGGGGGACACATTCCAAATCAGTCATCTAGACCTCTATAGAACCTGGGGTTCTGCTGTGGCCTCATAAATCTCATCTTCAGCTAAGGAAAGAGAGCCACAGCTGCAGAGGGAGCACATAGGTTGTCTGAGCACCATCTGGTGGCCAAATATTATACTACACTCTTAACTGGTTAATTCATCACAGGACCACACTCTGCTCTAATATATGTACGTATACATATACAAATATACATATATATGTATGTGTGTATTATATAAGATTATAAACATATGAATAGTTTGCCAAGTGTCAGGAAATAATACTTTTTAATGTGACACCCTATGGAGTCCAAGGTCTTGAATCATTACTGAAAGCACAAAAGCAAACCTAATACTGCATTTCTCAAAATAATATGAACACAGTGCTATAGTGTTAGACTCCAAAACTTGGCAAGGGACATCAAATTAAGACATTACCACAAATAGGGTATTAATTAATAATACTGAGGTGTAGAAATAGCATTTTAATTTTCACCAAACTTAAAGAAACTCTCCAAAGTCAACATCCAGGGAAGTGGGTTTCCTCCAAGATACCACATTCTCTATCAGTCCCCACTGCTGTGCACACCAGCCCTTTGGCTGCCAATCATAGGTTCCCTTGGCAAGGGTGGTGGTGGTGGCAACACAGGCCAGACTTGGGGAATGGGTCACTTTCTCTCTAAAAGTAACTGGAATTTGAATTCAGCCTCTTTAGAGATAAAACCCAGTGCAATGCAGTAGCAAGTGTGTCAAAGTGGAAGTTAGAAGACCTGGGTTTACTTAGCTGCTCTGTCATTTCTCACTTTTGTGATCTTGGGAAAGATACATGGCCTCTCTGGGCCTTTGCTTCCTTATCTATAAAATGAAAGGGTTATACTTCAGGACCTTTTTGAGCTCTAACTCTATAATCTAATTATGTCTCTAATTGTTCATATGCCATGCCAGAAAGAATTTGGGAATGCTAAGGCATTAAGACCTATGACTTAAATTTCATTTGGGGCTGATCCTTTTAGGATCTCTTTTCATTAAGGTCCAGGATTTCCAAAAGCCAATTGTAGCATATTTCTCGTTGTAAATTGATAACTAGTTGTATTTAAATTAGATGACTTTGAGTGACTTGTTGAAATAATAACAGATAATAACTTCCTCGATGAAAAGGGAAAGGGAAGTGAGGTAGAGTTTGGAAGTAGCAGAATTATTATCCTATGGAGTTTTCTTAAAATATCTCATTAATCCACACTAAGACAGTGAAAGTCTAGCAATTCTTCACTTATCATGTGATTAAAATTTTTATATGGGGCGTCCCAAAAGTCTTAGTGCAGTTTTAGGCTTTAAAAAAAAGCTTTTAAGTTTTATAGATAAATTTAATCCAGAGTAATTTTTCCCTCCCAGATAAAACATCAAAATGTTGCATAGCAGAGAAATGAGAAAGATCCAACCCAAAGTAGAGCTTTGAAAACTCTGGAGGTAAGTGAAAATGATGTTCTTGATTCTATTCAAATTTTCTCAGTAAAATCTCTTCCAAATTTAATGCAGTTTTATTAGAATAGAGTTTCTATAGTTTAGAGGATTCTCTGTGGGTCATATGTAGAGCCTCCGGGCCTGAAAAATGGGTAGTCAAAAGTTTAGGAACTAAAAGATAAGGAGCAGGATGGTAAGACCCATTCTGAAATGAATAAAGTGTAAACCATGATTAGCTGGAACGAATGAAGAACTGGGATCTCATGATATTTTAAAGAAACAATGGACATGAAGGGGGAAACAGCATCATTAAATTTTAAAAGATTAATTTTAGAGAGGCTGCATGGTGAGTGTGTATGTGTGTGTGTATCAGATTTCTTCGGGGGCCATCATTCCCATACCTTAGGTATTTCAGCAACTGGCTTCTTTACCTAGCTGCATCTTTAAGGTGCGCTGCCCATGGCACCCTTCTCCTGGAGTCTGCTTTATCTCTTAATTCATGCCTCTGGGTGGAGGGCTGCACCCTTTCCCATGTAAATGAATCCACATTGGATAGTCCCACGCACTTGTTCAGGCAACCTCATCCCCTATTGTTTTTGCTCTAGGTTAAAGGACTCCTAGTTATAGTTCAGCCAAAGGGTTGCAACAATTTCCAGTTTATGCTAAGTCTATTGATGACGAAGTCCAAATACTGCTGTGTACCTTATTCGTATGGGCCAATGATCTCCATCTTCCTCCATGCACCATCTTCTAAGGTTTAGAACAATTTCTACAAAACTAAAAGTTCCCAAACTTGTCATGTTGGGCCATTCAAGAGATTAGCATTTCCTCACTATTTTTGTCCATGAATAATGGAGTATCAGATCTTGTTTTCTGGGGTTAAATTTTGAGGGTAAATGAAATATGGTTATATCAGAACAGGAGTTTAGACACTTAGAATCATAGATCCAGAACTGGAAGGGACCTTAGAGATAATATAGCTCAACCCCATCATTTTACATATAGGGAACTATGTGATACCCTGAGAAAGGACTTGCCCAAGATCATACAGGTGCTGAACAACAGAGATGGAATTCCAGCCTAGGTCTTTTGACTCTAAATTCAGCGTGCTTCGGCAGCTAAGTGGCTCAGTGGACACAGCACAGGACCTGAAATCAGGAAAACCTGAGTTCAAAGCTGAACTCAGACACTTACTACCAGTGTGGCCCTGGGCAAGTACCTTAACCTCTGCCTGCCTTAGTTTCCTCAACTGCAAAATGGGGATAATAATAGCCTCTACCTCCCAAGATTGTAGTGAGGATCAAGCAAGATAATATTTGTAAGGCCTGGAACATAGTAAGTGCTTAATAAATACTTATTTCCTTGCTTTTTCCCTGCCATCACACTGACTGTCTCATTTCAATTTTACCAAAGTCATATTTTTCTTCTTTGTCTCATTTATTCATTGGAAAATTAAATAATATGTTTTTAAATATCCTGAAGAAATGCTTTGAAGATTTACTAATGAAAATGGCACGAAACACCTTGGAAATACATAGAAAGCCTGATTTTTCCTGAAGTCAAGATCTTTCCCTGATAGTAAGATATTACAAG